TTTCCTGATTTCTTGTTATATTTACAAGATCTTTCCTTTCCTTTCACTAGCTGCTATCTTGCCTGCTAGGTCTGAAATTTTATCTTCACTTTCATTGGAGCGGTTTTTTGTTGTTTTTTTTTTTGTTTTTTTTTTTTTATTTTTATTTTATTTTATTTAAGGAGAAAAGAAAAAAAAAGCAGGGAAAGGGTACAAGTTATACAGATTTACAGAAAAAAATGAAGAGTAGGAAATCACTAGTTAATGGATTACATATTGTCATCTTAGAAATAATTGTTCAAGTCACAAAATTAAAGCTTGTAAAGTGGACATTCCATCAATGATACTGCAAACAGTTCTGTTCATTGATCCAATAAAACTCTGTGATATCATTTTCTATCTTATACACTTAAATATAGATGCAGTTATATAGTTTGGAGCACTTTCTTTTCCTTTCTTTTGTACCATGACTATTACACATTTTGGGTTTCATTGCTCCCTCGGTTCTTATTACTTTTTTGGAAGAGAGTAAAACCAAATGTGACATAACAGAACAGAATCTGTCAAGTCAAAAGGGTGGACATTATAGATAATGTAAAAACATAATACAAGGTGATCAACAATGGTTACCATAATGCCTCCCGCTATCTCTAATAGAATTGCCTATATCATTAGTTATAATACAATTGAACAAAACAGTAAAGAATAAAACTGACAAAACCAAAACATTGGAGACATTGTAGGTCTTCAAAAGTAGATAAAAGTCAACAAGAATGGGCGTCATAATGCATCTCATTATCTTCACAGCTGATGCCTAAACTTTCGAGCCTGATACTATCCAGCAAAACAGAATAGGGGAATATCAGTTAAAAACCAGATGGTGAGAGTAATACAGGGCTTTAAATCAAGGTAATGAAAAGTCAAAGTGGGTTACTATAATATATCCTGCTATTTTTTTTCTTTAATTAAAAGGATAAAGATAAAAAAGTAAATAATGGAGTGGAGATTGAGATAAAAGAGGGTATAACAACGAAACAGCGCAGATCAAAACATAACCATTTAAGCAGAATAGTGTTTCACCACCAGATAATCCTAACCTAAAAGTAGTTACCATATTGTTTCTTTCTTTGAAATCCTTGAGTACAACTTCGTATACTGTAGCATTAAGTATATCAAAACAATGTAAAACCATTCAAGAGAATGACAGCATTGCAGAGTATTTAGAATCGACTAACAGAAAATGAACAATGGTTTCTGTATAATCTCCTTGTCTTTAAAAGGTTTTTGCTTATACTATCATACATAATAAAATCCAATAAGATACAGCCTATTTAGACCATTGGAGACAGAAGGACGTAAGCTAGATGAGACTTCAAAACAAGATGATACTAAATCAGTATTACCTATTAAGATGTCATTTTCTCCAAAATGGCTGTTCCTATCATCCAATCTTCTCTGCCTCATTTCTGTTAAGCTCTTTTTCTGTCAGTAGCTGTCAGTTTGTCTTCTTCATTTTGTTCTCTGCTCCATTCGCTGTGGCCTCTCTGCCATTATTTCTGGATTCTTTGTATTTTTCTTTATTTAGAATATCCTGCAATACTCTCTGTAGAGTTGAATTGGTGGTTGCAAATTCCCCCAGTTCCTCTTTATCCTGGAAGCACCTTGTTTTTCCATCAATTTCCAGGGACAGTTGTGCAGGATATCTCAATTTTGGCTGGAGATTATTATCTTTCAATGCTTGAATTATTTCCCCCCACGCTCTTCGTGATTTGATGGTTTGTGCAGAGAAATCTGCTGTAATTCTGATGGGTGTTCCCTTGTAAGTGGTCTGTTTCTTGTCTCTTACAGCTTTTAATATTCTGTTCTTGTATTGAATTTCTGGAATTTTTTTTATTATATGCCTGGGTGTTGCTCTGTTTGGGTTGTAGGTAGCTGGGGTCCTGTATGCCTCATAGATCTGAGTATCTTTACCCTTTGCTAAATTAGGAAAATTCTCCTGGATTATTTCTGTGAGTAGCTTTTGTAGTTCACTTGTTTGTGTCCCTACTTCTTCTTTTATGTTCTTAATCCTTAAGTTATGGATCCTCTTATCATCTTCTTGTCTTTGTATTATTGCTGTTTGTTTCTTTGTTATTTTTAAGAAGTTTTTCATTTCATTCTCCCATATTACAAGTCTGCCCTCCAGTTCAGATAGTCTGTCCTTAGTTTCTTTCAAGCTGTTATGCCAGTCTTCTATAGACTTCTTAGTATCTTGGTAGTCCCTTTGAACCTGCTTCACGTATTCTATGCTTTCTCTGTTTTCTCCATCCAACAATTCTCCCCTTTTTTTCTGTTCTTCCATTCCACCACCTGTTTTTTCTTGGGTGGTACTTAGCATTTCTCTAACTATTCTGCATACTTCTAGCTTCAGGTCATTGATAACTTCATTCCTGAATTGGTCTATGAGGCTCTCTATATGGTGCCTTATGTGTATTGGTGCGGTGTCTGCTATTGCCTGTTTCTCAGAATTGGGGGCCGAGGAGCCTTTCTTGTTGCTGCCTCTTCCCATTCTGCCTCTTCTTCTCTGTTCCTTATATATGAAAGCTTATATAAGAGGCCCAGCTTCTCTCCCAGTCAGCCACAGCCTGATCGAATTGCACCAGCTAGGTGTTCCCGCTCACCGCTGCGCACCAGGGAGTTACGGAACAGGCAGCCTACGCGTCTCCCCTCCCGGCTACCGTCAGGCTCTGGGATCTGGGTTGGGACAGCCTACCAGGTCTGCTGGCAGCGTCACGCAGGCCAGGCACTTTTCACCAATCCCACCCGAGAGGGGGATGTGTGGCAGGAGTCGCCACCGTGCCCTGCTCCCGCAGGACTGCTCGGGCCCAGAAAGTCCTCTGCTGGAGTCAAACTGTGGTAGAGTGTCAGTTTCTCTCACTCACTCACCTCACCACAAGTCAGTGCACGCCTCCCTGCCGTTCGCAGATTGCCGTTCTCAGAGCTTCTGCGCGTCTCTTTCCTTGCCGAGCCGCTGTAGAGGCAGCCAGCCGCCGTGCGGCGGGAAACCCAAATCGCGGCTTACAATGGCGCGGTTCCAGCCTCCACACCGAGTCTTTTCGGTTCCTGTTTTAGCACCAGGACTGCATTCCAAGTTGGCTTCTCTCAGCCCAGTTCGTTCCTGAGTCAGCAGAGCATATCTCCACCTGCTTATGTCTCCTTAGTCCGCACCATTCCTGGCTTCTGAGCCGAGTCTTTCAGAGAGCCTCCGGTAGTTGCTGTTATCTGTCCGCCATGTTCTCCCGGAAGTCCCATTGGAGCGGTTTTTACAACCTTCAGTGGAACTTTTGATTTCCTGTATATCTCTTTGCATCTGCTTTATGTATTCTGTTTGTTTCTTATATTGTTTATCCAGGGAGTCTACCTTTTTATTTAGTTCCTGCAATTTTTTAACTGTGTCTTCAGATATGTTCAGCATCTCTCTCTTTTCTTTTATTATTTCTTCTTTTACCTGGGAGATTATTTCTAGTTTGAATTCCTTTAAAGCTTCCCAGAGTTGCTTCTTTATTTCAGTTGCTATTATGTCCGATATTTGAGATGTATGGTTTATATTTTCTTCTATGTACATAGCTCCTAAGTTTTCCGGGATGGGCTGAAGGTTTGAGATTGTAATTTGGTCTTTTGTTTTGTTATTTTGCTATATTTCTGTGTTTCAAGTGTTATTTCAAGGCTTCTCCTGGGCCTGTTGGAAATCCTCTTCTATGCCCTCAGCTCCTGGGACTCTGGCTGCCCAGTTCCCGGGATTGAGAGAGAGTCACTGGAGGTCGGGCAGGCCGGCTCAAGACTCACCAAGCTGGTCCAGTGCAACAGGAAGCCGAGAAGTTCCCTGTCCAGGGCCGAGCGATGATCCCAAAATAGCTGGACTCAGGAGGATGGTGCGGGGACACTCACCCCAGGCCACCCATCCTCTGGAACCAGTGACGCTGGCCGACTCTGAACTCCAGAGTCTGCCAAGCCTGGCAGGGAGTGCCGAGACCTGCACAGGCCAGTTCAAGACCCACTCAGCTGGTCCAGTGCAACAGGAAGCTGCGAAATTCCCTGTCCGGGGCCAAGTGAGGGTCCCAAGCTAGCTGGGCTTGGGAGATGGTGTAAGGACACTCACCGCAGGCCACCCAGCCTCTGGAATGGATGGTGCTGGCAGGCCCAGAACTCCAGAGTCTGCCAAGCCCAGCAGGGAGTGGCAAGACCTTTACAAGCGGGTTCAAGACCTGCTGAGCTAGTCCAGCGCAAGAGGAAGCTATGAAATTCCCTGTTCGGGACCCAGCGAGGGTCCCAAACTAGCTAGGCTCAGGAGATGGTGTGGGACACACACCACAGGCCATCCAGCCTCTGGAACCAATGGCGCTGACCCCAAATTTAAGTTTCAAATTGCTGCTTAAGTGTATCAAAGAAAGAAGCACTCAGTGCCATAAATAATAAGATTTGCAAAGAGATATTATCTGTAGGATATCAAATTATTTCACTGGATTTTCATCTGTCCCATATCTGCGGATATGGTGGTCTTGTAGGCTCCCACTGTGAGGTCTGCCTTAGAGACAATGCTGAATACCCTGGCAGTGACCCAGCAAAAGAACCAGTGCTCCTATTCTGCTCTTTCAGTAGCAGTGAGGTGCAATGTAGCATCAGAATTGCTGTTAAAAAAAAGTGCATCTATTTGGGATGAATGACCAAGGCATGTAATTATGACTGAAGAATTCAGCCTCTATTCAGCTGTTGTATTGTGTTGTATTTCACTTTATATTATTGAGACAGATCTCTCCTTGTAGTTCAGGTTGGCTTTGGACTCATTGTGGATATACAGTGCTCTTGAACTCATTTCATTCATCAGGCCTCAGCTTCCTGAATGCTGGAATTACAGCATTACAAGGGAATTACAAGGGTGCATCACCACCCTTGTCTCAATTCAACATATTAGGAGAGGAGATAAGATATCCCAGGTTATGAGTCTCAACCTTCCTTTGAGAAATATATGTATGATCCTGTAGGAGGCAGTGACCTTTGAGGATGTGGCTGTGAACTTCACCAGTGAGGAGTGGGCTTTGCTGAGTCCATCCCAAAAGAAGCTCTACAGAGATGTAATGGAGGAAACCTTTAGGAACATGGCTGCTATAGGTAAGGATGACATCTCTTTCTTACTTATAGTCTCAGAGAATTCTGTATGTTGTTCATGAGTGCAGCTTTATTAAAAAGAACATTAAAACAGTTTGAAGTATAGCTCTGACCTGTTTACATTTTATCATTAGTCTAATTGGAATGTATTAATTTGTATGTATTATTATAATGAGTCCTTACATTTCTATGTCTACAATTCAGGAAGACTTGGGAATAACCATGAAGTTGGAAAAGAATGCGAAATTTACTGGAGATATTTAAGGTAATTTGCCCTCACAAGGAGGAGGATGGTCCTCAGGAGTCTGTGTGAGCAGAAACGTGACAGCCAAAGAAATGAGATGAAGTTCAATTTAATGTCAAAAATATTCTCCAAAGGTTTATATAGCTTGAGTATGTATAATCTGATAGTTGCATCATGAAAATGTCTGAAGTTACATAGGTATTGTGTATAGATGAAAATGAAAAAAATTTTCAATTTTGACAGCAACCCTTGTTTAGCATCTCTAATTACGGATACATGTGAATCTGACACATTCAGTATCTAAACATTGCTAACCTGGAAGCAGTGTTCAAAGTAAAACTGAATGCTAGTTATTCGATATGTGTTTTCAAGCCATTCTCCAAAGAACTCAGTCCATTCTGATTTAAAATTCTTTATCACTGGATTTTTGGATAAAGAAAATCGTTTGTAGGCTCCAGGTGACTGTTTATTATTATAAATCCAGCACTCTTGGAAGCAGATTTTTCAGAATGACAAGTTGAAGCTCTCCCAGAACACTTTAAACATCATGGACAATTTCTCTAAATAAGAAATAAAAAAGCTAGAGATTTTTGTCCTAATATCTATGTTTCATTCCCTGCACTGAAAAGAAAAAGTAAATATGCTATATAATCAGCCAAAAAATAAATAATGTGTCATTTGCCAAAAGAAATAGGTTGGTCTTCTTCCCATAAAATTCAGTGAAATAACAGCTACAAATGGGAAATGTCACATGCTTTCTCTTCCTTGAGAAACCAAAATAAAAATGATAGAGCAAAATAAAAAGAGAGGTGATAGAGAAAGGAAAGACAGACCTTTTGGACAAGGAAATGACAAACAGGGTAAGGAGAGAAGGGGCAGAGCCATGGGGGGAAAAGGGATCAGAATGGTCAATGTGTGATCCATATATGTACCACTGTCCAAAATGAAGCTTAACATTCTGTATTTCAATATATATCAACTTCAACATTCCCCAGTGAATACTACTCTTTTGGAAATGACTATTACAAATGTATCCTGCAAGGCATTCAATTAATTAATTGTCCAGATTTCTTAGCTGGCATCAAAACAGAACTTGCTCTGGTAAATCATTAATACAGAAACCCATTTCATTGTGATTTTTCCTCTTACAGAAATGGCAAAATTGAGAAATGCAATAGACATAAAACTTGGAATCAGTACGAAGAAACATTTCCTTGTACTCCAGATGGAAATGTGGATGTGAAAGAAACAGACACACACAATGATGTTCAGATCCATGAAACACGCTGCAATGGAGAGAAACGTTATGTATGTAAGCAATGTGGGAAAGCTTTCACAACACGTGGATATTGTCAAATACATGAAAGAATTCACACTGGACAGAAGCCCTATGTATGTAAGCACTGTGAGAAAGCATTCAGCACACGTGGAAATTGTCAAATGCATGAAAGACTTCACACTGGGGAGAAACCCTATGTGTGTAATCAATGTGGAAAGGCTTTCAGCACAAAACGTCATTGTCAAACACATGAAAGAACTCATACTGGGGAGAAACCATATATGTGCAAGCAATGTGGGAAAACTTTCAGCAGAAACACTCACTGTCGAATTCATGAAAGAACTCACACTGGGGAGAAACCATATATGTGTAAGCAATGTGGGAAAGCTTTTACCACAAATGGATATTGTAAAATACATGAAAGACTTCACACTGGAGAGAAACCCTATGTATGTAAGCAATGTGGAAAAGCTTTCAACAGATACAATGATCGAAAAATACATGAGCGAATTCACACAGGAGAGAAACCGTATGTATGTAAGCAATGTGGGAAGGCTTTCACCACAGGCAGATCTTGTCATATACACGAAAGAATTCACACTGGGGAGAAACCCTATGTGTGTGAACAATGTGGGAAAGCTTTCAGTACGAACAGCCATTGGCGAACACATGAAAGAATTCACACAGGGAAGAAACACTGATTATGTAAGCAATGTGGCAAAGCTTTTAGCAGTCACAGTGAATGTAATGTACATGAACAAACTCATACTGAGAATTAATCATGTATGTAAGTAATGTGTGAATACTTTTAGCACATAAAATGATTGTTATGTATATAAAAGAAGGGTAAGTAACGTGGGAAGGATGCCTGTTCACACACATTTTGAAACACATGAAAGCCTCAATGGGTAGATACTTTATATATATAATCTTTTTGAGATGGGCATGGTGGCACAGGCCTGTAATCCCAGCAGTTGGGAGACTGAAGCAGGAGGATTGTTGTGAGTTCAAGACCAGCCTGGGCTACAAAGTAAGCTCAAGGGCCACCTGAATTGCATAGTGAGATCCTATCTAAAAAAAAAAAATTTTTTTTTTCTTTTTTTGAAAATATGGTGAAAATTTCTCATGTGAAGACCAAAAGAAATTAGTACAGGATGTTTGATGTATTTCTTCACAAATGTTCCAGAAAATACAAATCTGAGGTGGAGCTCTCCTCAAGTACATATGTTGTGTGGTTTTCATTAAATCATTTATTTATAAATATCTAGATTTTGTACCTGTAGTATTTAATATAAAAATACTGAGTTGACATAAATTCACATTCTTGAGTGTCTGTGCGTAACCATATTGTGTTTTAATTAAACATGAATTGAAATGCACTTTTTACTTTCAAGTATGGTTAGTGTCTGTGTAATTAATGTTTTGTCTTTAAAATTGGGAGATATAGACCACTATTATTTTTGTTAATTGTTGGGATTTTGCCTCTGTTTTTGTTAAATTTTTGATGCTTCATGCTTTTATACTTCATCTTCAGTGTAACAAATGATGTTTCTGAATTTGATGCTACATTTTATATTAAGATGCACAATTTCAGGGGCTTATGAGTATGTATTTTTGATAAAGTTGAGTTCTCTTTCACAATTTGTAGACTGGCAAATGTCGTGTTATTCATATTGTGACAAGATACCTGCTTATATCCTAACATCATTGTCTATCATGTCATGTACATAGTGTTGTCTGTTCTTTCTTACTGGAGCCAGTATTATCATTTACATAAACATTTATGTTTTCTTGCCATCCAAATTTTGTCATGTTTGTATTGCATTGATTTTTAATTTATTGTTAATTTTTCCACCACATGTACCAAAAATAAACCATACTACTGTGAATTTCTGATGGCTCCAGACTAGCTAGAGCATAAATTGTCTCCAAAAGCATATCAAGAATTGTAGTAATATCTCCAGGAAGTACAAATGATAGTATGATTTATCAGTAACAACAATTCAAAAGGAAGTTTTCTCAGTTGCTTTTGGGAAATTGGTTGGTACTAAAATGCATTTACTTTATTCTATTTGTAATTATTGTTGCTTTTTCCTAATACACTGAACTAATGAATTGAAGGCAAACCTAAATTGTGAGGTATCAGTGTTATAAAAGATGAATTTAGGGGGCTGGGGATTTGCCTCCTCAGTAGCATAAGCACCTGCCTTGCAAGCATGTGGTCGTGAGTTCGATCCCTGGTACCAGTAAAAATACAAAAAAAAAAAAAAAAGATGAATTTACTAAATTCTGATTCAGAATGTGTTGTTTTTAAGATCTATACAACACCATTTCAGTGTTCATAAGAACACTGCCTGATGTTTGCAATTTGTACCAGTTGCTGGCAATCACCTACACTGACCTGTATTTTTCACTCTCTTTTTAACATCAGTGTAATTTGTAAAGTTTTTCATAGATTTTAAGGTGTACTTGATGATTTTATTGTAGAAAAAAATGGAAATTTGCTGAACTGTGTACCCCCAAATTTTCAATTTTCAATATTTGTTTTTAAAATTTGAGATCGTATCTTACTATGTTGCTCAGGATGATGTGAACCTTATGGACTATTGTTTGGACATGTATGTGCCATTATGCCAGTTTAAGATTGGGGTTCTTTATTGCTCCTGATTTACCATGGTTTCAGTGTTTAGGTGTGGTGTCGCCTAAGGAGCGTGGCCCTCTCATAGTCTGTGATAACATCAGCCCCAGCATGAGAACAGAGACTGGGTAGGAAAGCTGGACCCAAGAGAAGAAAATGTTCTTCCCTCTTGTCTCATGATGCGTGACTAGGCTGTGTTTACAGAGCTAGAAGGAAGTGGCCGACCTTCAGGTGGCTAGAAAGAACAAACATAATTAAAAACATTCTTGGGTTAATGGTGTTCCTCCTGGGTTATTGGGGCAAGAAGAACTGGTTATGCTTGCTTGCTTAACTTAGATAGTTTAGATAACATTGTAGTTTATCACAAAGCTTGTCACAAAATGTGCTATTTCACGATAATCGTCTGTGCACTGTGAGTTGATCCGGTTCACTATATAAGAACCTAAAAATAAAGTACAGCATGCAGTAGCAATTGCTGTTTTCTCTGCTCTGCATCCCCCGTGTCCTGATTTCGTGTGTCTCTTCCCGGGGTCCCGAGTGCACTAGACACTCGCGACAAGTGGCGCCCGAACAGGGACCCCGATGGTTGCTCAGGAGAGGTGAGTGTATATTTTTATTACGGCAAAATGGGACAATCTCCTTCTTCGCCTTTCTTAAAAATTGTTAAGCATTCACTCTCTATGTATGGTATATTGTTAAAGTCTGCTGATTTGGATATGTGTGTTCATACAATAAAGGAATATAATCCTTGGTTTCCAGATGAAGGGACCTTGGATGTAGAATTGTGGAAAAGAGCCAGAGCCAATATAGAAAAGGCTATGCGGCAGGATGAAAAAATCCCCTTGCGTTTTTGGGCTATTTGGTCAGTTGTCTACTCTTTGCTAAAAGCCATGGAAGATGAGCATATTGTAGAAAATTTTCAACAAGAAATTAAGCCTGTCATAAAAGAACTACCTCTCAGTGAAGAGGAACAAATAATTGTACAAAATGACGCTATTAATCTAACGAACGAAGAAGCGTCAAAAATGAAAGTAAAACTTGCCGCAGCCAAACCGGCCTTAAATACTACGGCTGTTTCAGCTCCTGATGATCTCCCTTTGTTACAGGCTGTTCAGCGTCTCACTCAAGCGGTAGAGCAGCTTTCTACTAAACAAAGCCCTCCTGTTTATCCCTCCGCACCGTCTTTTTCTAATTATGAATATAAAAATCGTGCTCGACTTACAGATAAAGATTGGAAAAGAATGAATTTGGCTTTGGCTGATATGCCAGGATCAGAGGATTCTGAGGATGAAGAAAATTCTGTCTTTGCTTTCCCTATTATTAGGCCACAAAATGTGGATGCAGTGGCACTTCCCCCTAGATGGGAAGGATTTAATATAGATGATTTAGCAAAATTAAAAAAGGCCATGACACTCTATGGCCCTCAAGCTCATTATACTAGAGAGTTGTTATTAGCGGTGTCAGATCATTATAGAAATTTTGCTCCTCATGACTGGAAAACATTGGCTAAAACTCTTTTGAGAGAACCAGAATATTTACAGTTTCATATGTGGTTTATGGAAGGATGTACTAAAAAAGCACGACTTAATGCTTTAGATCAAAATCCTAACGTTAGGCTTATTACATATCCTATGCTTTCTGGCACAGGCTTTTATGAAAATGTTGATCATCAAGCCACAGCTCCTATTGAAATTCATAATCAGTTACAAAATATTGCTCTGGAGGCCTGGGATAAAATACGGCCTCAAGGATCATCTTATGGGTCTTGGGCTAAAGTTCTACAAAAGGCCAATGAGCCTTATGTTGAATTCATTGCACGCCTCCAAAATGTAATTGAAAAGACTGTTGTTGGCAAGGATTTGCAACAACATCTTTTAAGGTTGCTGGCCTTTGAAAACGCGAATGAGGAATGTAAAAAGGCTTTGCTCCCAATAAAAGATAATGGAACCATAGACAATTTTATTAAACAATGTAAGGATTTAACTTCTGAAACTAGAAAGATGCAACTTTTTGCTGAAACTATGGTAACTACATGGAATAATTTGCAATCCAAAAAAGAACAATCTATCAAGTGTTTTGGCTGTGGCCAGACTGGGCATGTGAAACGAGCCTGTCCAAAGCTTTCAGGTGATAATCAAGGAAAGAAATCTAAAGCCCCTGGTCTTTGCCCAAAATGCCGTAAAGGGTGTCATTGGGCCCGTGAATGTAGGAGCAAGCAGGTAAATTCTGCTAAACATGAGGGAAACGGGAAACCGGGCCTTACCCCGGACCCGGGACAAATCAATGGGGGAAACCCACCGTATTCTCTTTACAACCTGCCACCCAACACAGCGCCGCAGTGGACATACCAGCCATAAAAGATATAGAATTAAAAGGTGGACAATCCCCTGTGAGGGTCCCTACAGGAATTTTTGGTCCCTTGCCTGTAGGCAGTTTCGGATTACTAACGGGCTGATCTAGCTTAAATCAAAAGGGCATTACTGTCCATTTAGGAATCATTGATGCAGATTATACAGGAGAGATTCACATTTTAATGTCCTCACTTACTGATTATAAATTATCAAAAGGAGAATGCATAGCTCAACTTATATTATTACCCTATGTTCCTATAGGCTGTTCCTCTATTCAAAGAACTGGAGGATTTGGCAGTACTAATCCTATTAATGTAATGTGGACAGCCAAGTTGTCTCAACAACAGCCTATTATTAGTATTTTTATTGAGCATAAGAAAATTCAGGCTCTTATAGATACTGGTTCAGATATCACCATAATAAAGACCACAGATTGGCCTTCTCATATTACTTACAATATTATTCCATGTAACATCAAAGGAGTAAGCAAAACTCCAGTAAATACCATTGATCAAGCTACAACACATATGCATATAAAGAATGAAGAGGGTCAGATTGCGGTTATTAAACCATATATTCTTGAAGTTCCAGTTTCCATACTGGGGAGAGATACATTAGAACAATGGGGTGCTCATATACATTTCTAATATTTTAGATGATTCCTTTGAAACTTAATTGGAAAAATGATGACCCTATCTGGATAGATCAATGGCCTTTGACTACGCAAAAATTACAGGCAGCACAGGAATTGATTGATCAACAACTCTCCCTTCATCGCATAGAATTATCCACTTCTCCTTGGAATTCACCAATATTTGTGATAAAAAAGAAATCAGGCAAGTGGAGACTTTTAACAGATTTACGAGCTGTTAATGCATCCATGTACTCCATGGGAGCTCTTCAACCTGGTATTCCTTTACCTTCAGCGCTCCCTGCCGGCTGGCATGTATATGTTATAGATTTACAGGACTGTTTCTTTACTATTCCTTTACACCCTGAGGATAGAAAACGGTTTGCTTTTTCTGTTCCTCAAACTAATCATCAAAGACCTTATCAACGATATCAATGGTGGGTATTGCCTCAAGGAATGATGAATTCTCCCACAATATGTCAAATATATGTTGATGCTGCTTTAAAACCTATTCGTGCCCGGGGGCCTCAGGTATGTATTGCTCATTATATGGATGATATTCTATTTTCTTATCATGATAAAGCTGTTTTAGAAAATATTTTTGAAGCTCTTCCTCAATACTTTTCTCCCTTTGGACTTGTAATAGCTGAAGATAAAATACAGAAAGAAGAGATTAGTCATTATTTGGGATATATTCTAACCAGGCATAAAGTATTTTCACAGAAAATGTCCATTCGAAGAGATAAATTATCTACTTTAAATGATTTTCAACATTTACTAGGGGACATTAACTGGCTCCGTCCCACACTAGGTATTCCTACCCATGCATTACAGCATTTATTTGCTACTTTACAGGGTTCTTCAGACCCATCTAGCCCTCGTACATTAACAGCAGAAGCAGAGCAGGAATTACAATTTGTAGAACAATGAATTAAGGATGCCTTTTTAATTAGGATTGATCCTCAATTACCTCTAACTTTATATATTATTAATACTTTTCAATATCCCTTTGCAGTTTTGGGTCAGAATGCTATGCCAATTGAATGGGTTTTTGCTAGAACTAAACAACATAAAAATGTTATGCCTTATGTAGATATCATTGCCTCCTTATCATGAATGGTAGAGCTCGCTCCATAACCTTAACAGGACAAGATTTAGATAATATTATCATCCCTTTAACTAAGGAACAATGGGAATATCTGATTTCAATAACTGAGACTTTACAGATTGCATTGGCAGATTATATGGGCACTTTTTCATATCATTTTCCCAAAAGTAAATTGTGGGATTTCTCTAAACGTCAACAATTTGTGGTCAATACTCTATTATCTATACAGCCAATCCCTCATACTTTAACAATCTTTACAGACGGATCAAAAAAGAAAAGTGCTTATTGGACTCAGAAATCTTATTGGGTACGTCAGACAAATTTTAATTCTGTGCAACAAAATGAACTTTTTGCTATATTGCAAGTGTTTTTGGATTTCCTGATCAACCCATTAATATTATAGCTGATTCAGCTTATTCTGTTGGTGTAGTGGCAAATATTTATTCAGCAGTGTTGTATTCCAATAAGCCTAATTTGCTATTTCTATTTCAAAATTTACAAACACATATTCAAAAAAGAAACCATTCTTATTTCATTACTCATTTACATTCTCATTCTCAGTTACCTGGGCCATTAGTATCAGGTAATAGAGCAGTAGATTCTTTAGTTATGTTTGCCACACCCACAGAAGAACATCAATTTAATCATGCTAATGCCGGACATTTACATTTTAAATATAAGATACCCTTTGCAAAAGCTAAACAAATTATAAAGGCCTGCCCTATTTGTAGGCCCTTACATTTAAGAATCACCCCCTCAGGTGTTAATCCCAGAGGAACTCAACCCAATGAGTTATGGCAAATGGATGTTACACATGTGCCCTCTTTTGGCAGGTTTTCTTACGTGCATGTAACTATTAATACTTATTCCTCATTCATATGGGCCACTGCCCAACAGGGTGAGTCCACTAAAAATGTTATTATCCATTTATGGGAAACTTTTGCAGTCATGGGGATTCCATCTAAAATTAAAACAGATAATGGGCCTGCCTATACTAGTAGAACTTTTAAACAATTTTGTGTCCTTCATGATATCATTCATGTTACAGGGATTGAATATAATCCTCAAGGTCAAGCCATTATTGAAAGAGCACATGGCACTCTTAAGTTGCAAATTAAAAAATTAAAAAGGAGGAATCAAGAGGATATTCAGATACCAATATTGTTAAGTTTACAGAATAGTTCAAGAACATTATTACATCAGGTACTGTTTATTTTAAATTTTCTCAATTTACCACAAGGTGAAATATTGACAAGGGCTGAAAGACATTTCGAACAACAGCAACAACCATATGTGATTAATGAGCCTATTTGGACTAAAACAGCCCCAGAAGCAGAGTGGGAGAAGGGTACATTGCTTTATAAGGGGAAAGGTTATGGTTATATCTCCACAGAACATGGAATT